CCTTGAGGTCCCTTCCAACCCGGGCCATTTTTCATTCTGTGATTCCATACATCCCAGCCTGGATGGCAGTGACCTTCCTGAAATCACTCCTGAATGTGCTCAGAAATAACCCACACTTATGAGCGTCCTTGGAGAGGAGAAGGGTTGGAAAATGGCACTTTGGGACAGCAGCTGAGCCCTTGGATCTGGGAGCTGTGCACAGCCCATCTAAGAGCCAGCACTGTGTCATTTCAGACCCGATCACAACGATTCCACGATTCTATTCACAGCCAATGCCCAACCCTGAGGATGAGGATGCTGCAGGGGCTGCGGTGGTGCAGAGATGCTCAGGGAAGCCGAGTTTTAATCTGATAAAAGTCCTTTATTAGAACAGCAACCGTGACACTCGTCAGGAGCAGAGCAGCTGCAGGCAGCTATCATCGCGGGACAGTGGGGACGACACCGCACGACCATGAGGAGCCTAATAAGCACCATGAACATCCTAAAGAAGGGGGGGAAGGGCTGAGGAAGGCACCCCGTGACCCGGCCACGGAGCCCATGGGGCAATCACCGCAGAGCCGCTCGGCGTTGTCCCGCAACACAGCTCTCCTACAGCGGAGGAACTCGTCGGTGTGAATGAACAAGATAGCACCCAGTCAATAAATTAGGTGAGTTTTGTACTAGAGCAACGCGGGGACGGAGGGGATAAGGGGGTGATAGGGAGGGGGTGACCTATATACAGTTGTTCTGCCGGGTCTGAGCCGCAGCTTTCTGATGGCACGGGCAGCGCCGCCGCTGCAAGGGCGAAGGACCGTAAAGCAAAGCGTGGGGATGAGCGCATGCATGGCCCTTGGGTAGCAGTGTGTGTGGGCAGCAGGCATGGTGCTGCTCAGAGCCTGAATCGCCCCTGGGGCACGGCCACGGGGCAGGCATGGCAGGGGACACGGCTTCCTGAGTGCAGGTCGACTCTCCGTGCTCCCCATCCCCGGGCTCCCCTTCAGAACCTCTTTGCTGAGTGAGTTTTCCTGCCAAGGGAAGGATGCTATCGGGCAGTATTTAAGGCTCTACAAAAATAAATGCTCGCCTCCAAGGAGCAGCACGGCGTATGGCTGTGGTGCTGGTTTGTGGGGAGCCGGGTGCTGGGTTTGCCCCAAATCCTGCCCCTGCTGTGCCCAGCCTTGGGGGCACAGTGGTGGGAAAGGTTTTGCTCTCCGCTCTGCTGGCGCTGACCCCAGCAACGATGCAGCTCTGCTCCAGCAGGTGGCTGTGGTTTAACCCCAGCCACGGAGCATCGCCCCGGGGTGCTGCTGCCTTCACTGGGAGCTGCAACACCCCAACAGCAGTGGGGGTGCCTCTGGGGCTGCTGCAGCACATGGGGCATCCCTCCATGGGGACCGGCAGCAATCCAGGGCTGACCCCGGTGTGTGGCAGGGAGGTGCTCTGCAAGAAAGGCCACGGGGAAAGAAACATCCTGCGAAGGAACGGGGCTGGAGGGGGCGAAAGCTTTCTGGGGGGTCCCTCCCACAGCCTGGCCAGCTGCAGCAGGATGCAGGATGGGAAGCTCTCATCACAACTCCAGGCCCCAACTCAAAGGAGTGAAACCGAACCTAAAAGCGGACACAGGGACATCTCGGGCTACCTAGGTACTTCATCAGCCAAAAAGAGCTAAACAGCGAAGCGTACACACACAGGACAGCGCTGGTGGGTGGAGAATGAAGACTGCCAAAGCTGGGTTCCTCCTTCCCTTCTGGCTGCCCCCAGTGCCGGCGCTCGCAGCTCCGTGCTGCCTCATCCTCACTGCATGGCCGAGCGCGAGGCGTAGAACTCAGGGACCGGCAGCCCCGTGTGCAGCGTCACCTGCAAGGAGACGGGGTGAGGGTGAAGGATGCTGGGGGTGATGCTCACTGCTTGGGGCCGTCCCAGGTGAGGGGCTGTGTCCTGAGCACACACACAGGTGTGCAGAGCTGCTGTGCGGGGTAATTCAGCTCCCCCCTCCCCCCTAAATGCTTTGATTTGGAAGGAAAGCGCAATTCCTTGTTGAGAAGGCATTTTCCCCTTCAGGTATGGATTTATAGAAAACTTTGTCTGTGATACAATTACCTCCATCCTGATTGGAGTCGTTGTAATTACTCACGTGCCTCTGAAGGAGGATAATGAAGAGCTTGGGGTTTATTAGCAGCCTTTAATCAGCATTCCAGGCTGGATGTGGCTCTGGGCAGCCTGGTCTGCTGGTTGGCGACCCCTGCACATAGCAGGGGGTTGAAACTAAATAAGCATTGTGCTCCTTTTCAACCCAGGCCATTCTTTGATTCTATGATTCTATGATCCCCTGGGATGTCCTTAATGCCGAAGGATTTCAAACTCTCCCTTGCACACTGAGCTGCCAGAAGGGCTCTAGAAATGTGCCTGTCTCTTGTGGCAGTGCGAAGGAGTGTGGTAAGAACTAAACCCACTGTGGAGAAGGACATTTGTACCACACCAATAGGCATCTCCTAAGAGCAGTGCAGACAGATGGGCTCGTGCAGTGCTGGAGGAGCAAGCAGTGACCACAGGGATGTGCCACAGCCACGCTGGGGGAACGTGGAGACTCACTGGGGTGGATGAGAGCAGGGATGAGATTGGTGATAAGGGGAAATGAAAGATGAAAATACCAGAGAGGCCCAGGAAGCCACCACTTGGTGATGTTCAGGATAGCAGAGAGCTTGGGAGAGAGGGAGAAAAGAGGAGTTTGAAAATCCCCAGAGGAAAACAGGCTTTAAGTGATGCCCTTCTCCCTGGTATTGCTCTCGTTTAGGACCTGGAGAGATGGAGGAGCTGGTGAGGCTCCTGCAGGGAGCACTTACCTGCACGTTCCTGTTGAGGCTGACTGCTGGGAAGAACAGGCCCTCCAAGTTCTCAAAGGCGACGGGGCCCTGCTGGTCCTCGTTGATGGAGAACGTCAAGGTCCTCCTGGTCAAATCCAGCAGCACTCCCACCGTGGCACCTTTTGTTATCCCACCTTCAGTCCTGTGGGAGCAAAGAGAAAGTCACAGCATCTCCGTGGCATCGTGTCCCTCGTGCTCCTGGCACAGGGATAAATGAATCACAGAGCACTTGGGCTGGAAGGAGTCTTCAAACCCACCCAGTTCCAAGCCCCTGTCATAGAATCACAGCATGGTTGGGTTGGAAGAGACCCCAAAGCCCACCCAGTTCCAACCACTGGCTCGGGACATCCAGGCCCCCATCCGTGGCCTTGGGCACCTCCAGGGATGGGGCACCCACAGCTCTGGGCAGTGCCAGGGCCACAGTGCTCTCATGAAGAATTTCCTCCTGCCATCTGACCTAAATCTCTCCTCTTTTATTCTGAGACTGTTCCCCCTTGTGCTATCTACCAGTTTAAATGCAACCACGTACTTTCTTGCAGCAGGAACTACAAGGCTTTGGGTACTAATGGAAGAGCCAGCGTAGGGAAGAAGTGGCTGTAGCAATGAGCCAGTGCAGCAGGGGCTGTTTTCTGCTTTGGGCAAGGGCACACATCCTCCCATAAAGGTGACCAGCAGCCAATTCAGCCCTCCTGAGGGCAGACAAGCCATGGTCTTGCAATGGAGCAGCGCCCAGGTGCAGATTGCATACCTGTTGGTGTGAGAGTTGTTGTGCATGAACCAGCTGCGGTTGTTGTCCACATACATGGCCCAAGCTTTGTCATCCTTGCCCAGCATGGCATCCTTCAGGACGTCGATGCGCGCCACGCCGAAGGCCGGGTCCGGGTGGTTGTCGTAGCGATCGATGGACAACTCCCAGTAGTGCAGCCCTTTGGAAAAGCCCGTTTTCCCCAGCACAACCCTGTCATCGTAGCTGTTGCAGGTGACAGTCAGGTTGTCGTTAGAAAAGATGATGTCAGCGTGTGCAGAGGCAGGATCGAAAGAAAACCAAGCTACTGGAATAAATGAAGAGCAAAGGGTTAGGCCAATGGGAACCTCACCTCCCATACTGAGCCGTGGGGACTGGACAGACAGTGCATGCTCCATGCAGGGCTGACAGCCAGGGAGGGCTGGGCTGCTGGAATACACGGTGGGTTGAGGCTTTTTGGCTGGGACCAAAGAGCTGAGCTCTGTTCTGCTGCTCCTCGGGTCCCTGCCTGTCTGCAGCTCAGGATTACGACCATCTCCTAAAGCCTGGCACTAGCAGAACACGTGCCATCCTGGCCAGCTGCTGGCTAACACAGGGGGAGATGCTCACTCTTCTGTGCAGGGTCAGGCTTGGGGTGGGAAGACTAATCTGAGAATGAGCAGGTAAACCACACGTGTACCTTGGAAAGCTGGCAGCTCTGGCAACCCAAAGCACATCCAAAGGTTTGCATTTATGGGAACGCTTCTCCACATCCCGACAGAGCAACCAGCCATGCAGGAAACAAGAGCTAGCCCATGGGAATGCTGAAAGATGCCCCAAAACCTCCACGCCTGGTTATAAGCACAGACTCGGTCGCTGGCAGTCCGACAGACACAGCAGTGCTCAACAAGACAGAGGCACAGGGTTGCACAAACCACCACCCTGCCTTCACAGCTGGTTTTTCTCCAGCGGTCACTGGACCGAGGGCTGACACATCCACCAACGCTCTCCCACCCGAAGGAGGAAAACCCAGCTTTAAAGATGGAACGCTCTGGTGAGATTTATTCCTCTGCCCATTGGATGGTGTCACAGGACAGCTCGCATGCACACGGGTGCCCCACTGCTGCAGCCCGACAGAAGCGATTCCGTACCTGCCACCATTTTTTTAATGTCAACTGTGGTCATTCCCAAGGAGAGGCATGCGGGAAAGAAAACAGCGCGTAAAGTTGGCATTCGGTCAAAGAAGGAACCAGAAACAATTTCTGCTTGCCTGCTTCTCTGGCTTTCAGCATTGTGAGTACACTGAAATGCAGGGAGGGAATGTGGGGTGTGGGTTGGAGGGCATGGAGAGTGCTCCAGGGACTCCTTCCCCCATCCCATCCCATTAGGATGGGCCCTTCAGAGGACTTCTTCCCCCTTTCCATTAGGATGGGCCCTTCAGAAGCCTCTTTCCCCCATCCCATCCCATTAGGAGGGCCCTTCAGAGGACTCCTTCCCTATCCCATCCCAGTAGGATGGGACCTGCGGGTGACTTCCTCCTCCATCCCATCCAACCCCATAAAGATGGGCCCTCCAGAGGACTCCTTCCCCCATCCCATGCCATTAGGATGGCTTTGCAGGCTGTGAGTGCCACTTGTCCTGGAGAAGGCGGTGTGAGCCTGATGGATGCATGTCTACCCCAGCACTGCAATTAGCTGCAGGAGGGTTAATCATCTACTTGTGGTCTGGCACATGCTCAACTATCCTGAATGAACAGGAATGCCTTGAGCAGAAGGCTGGGTTTTTAATCAGAGGCCACTGGCACAGTGCTGACTTCAGGTTTCTCTTCACAGGGGGAAAACTTAAAATGCCTTTACAGCATATGGTCTCTACCTTCAAATTTGCCTACTGCTATCTGGGAACGCCCTGCAAGGAGGGTGTGCATGAGAAATGCTGCTCACCCACCCAAGTTAACAATCAAACAAAAAAGATGACCCACATGGAGTAGGTGCCGGTTAATTGTAAGAGAGATACTTGCCTAATTGAGAGTAAGGCGTTCCTTGTGTCTCAAAATTGCATCCTACAAAGAGATACTGCATTTCACACATCACAGCTAAGAAAGAACAACTGGTCTCCTGAAAAGCACTGCTGAGGAGTTAGCCCCTCACGGAGCAGCCATGGGAGGCCTGATTCATTGAAAGCCAGAGAGCATGGAGGGGGCTCCAGCACAACCTGGGAGCATGGGTGACAACGGGGATCTCTGGGGTGGTTCCTGCCCTCGGAGCCCCAAAGGCTGCAGGCCTCCTGCTGGCTGCAAGCACCCCCTGAGCGCTGCCGTGCAGCCAGGCCAGACCCACGGGGCTCTCCCCACCTGCAGGGGTTGTTTTGCATTGCAGCAATGCAGTTCTGCAATGCAGAGAGGTGGGGACCACGGCCCAGCTTCGCCCCGTCCCAGTACCCCATCTCTCCACACATGATGCTCACAGCCACTGCAGGAGGTGTTGGTACAGTGGACACAAAGTCAGAAACGTCCGTAACGAGACAGTGGAAGGCATCAGTGCACAGCGGTATGATGAGAAGGAACATAAAAAGCACAAAGAAAAGAAAAGCTGCAAGGCCCCTGGTTATTCCAGCAACGGTCATGCTGCAGCATTCCTCATTCCAGGTTATGAGATGGAAAGAAAGCAATCGGGGACCCCCATTCTTCCTGGGCTTACAATGGAGGAAGCTGCAAATGGCTCTGTTGGGGCGGCGTAAACCCACCGGTGGAAGAATCGGGGCCCAGGATTCATTAGTGACAAAGGATGTGCAAAGATTGGTTAGAAAACAGCTCTGAGGTGCACTGCGCCTGCGCTCCTCGGGGACCTCAGGGACCACCTGGTTCCAGCCCACCTCCATAGGGGAAGCAAACAGTGGAAGTGCACCCAGGGGTTCCTCCCGGGGGGGGGGGTCTGCTTTGCCCCCGTCTCAGCACAGGATCGATGCCAACTAGAGATGAGGAATCTGCTCTGCTGAGGACAGCACTCCCGGCATCGCCCCACGCCTCGCACTGCTAAGGACAGATGGACACACTGCCACAGCTACACCGCCAAAATCCCCTCCGGGTCGCGCTGACGAACAGCACAGCTTCCCCCTGCCATCCGCATGTCATGGGAAAAACAAACAGAACGCAACAAAACAAAACAAAGACTTTGGAGATGCCCAGAAGCACAGACCAAGAGAAATGCCAGAGGTGCTGGGCTCACCGGCTGAGTTCAGGGACTGTAAGGAAGAATGCAAGCTCAGCTGGTGGGCCGAAGATCTTAGCTCAAAGTAGGATCTCCCCGGGAAGCTGGGTTGTAGATTAAGGGTGGAGGAGAAAGGACTCATTCTACGAAGCTGCAATCTTTCCAAAGGCACTGGAAAAGGGAGGGTCTGTTCTTCTGACTGCGTCTCTAAACGTGAGATCAATGCAAAGCGGAGATCAGACATCAGCTCTGCAGGGCCACGCGCTGCCCACACCCGGACCTCGGCTGCAGTGAGTGCATGTGGGCATGGGGAGCGGGGCAGGGCAGCGTGCACAGCATGGCCTGGCAGAGGAGTGAGATGCATCACTTGGCTTACAAGGTTTGTAATGCTGCAGAGGCGTTTCGCAGGGCCGGGCTGAGCTCTGTTGCCCTAAGGGCCATCAGGCACCCACCTGACTCAAAGGCTGCGCGGTTGGTGTGACCTCTGTATCTCTCTGCACCTGTGGAAGCACATCTGAGCCTCACAGTGAGATCTGAACTCGTGTGGTTCACAGAAAACAGCTTGGAGGGAAACTCTGCACCACTGCATCCCATTCCCTGCCGGCACCAATGGTCACCTCCTGCCACCTCCTCCCTGCCACCTTGGCAAGGGCTGCTCTATTGCTAAGACATAGAATCCACCATCCTCCACACACTGCAATCCCAGACACTGTCACCTCAGTCTTCCCACCTCGCTGTGAGTCCAAAGAGATAAAAGGAGGCATTTCTTTGCATGGTGGGGGCCAATTTCTGGGACCTGCTGCTGCGTGAGGCTACGGAAGCAAAGAGCATCAGTGGGTTCAGCAACAGCTTGGGTAACCCACTGCAAAACGTGTTCATACATGGAGCTCATGTTGAGGTCGGGATGCACCCTCTGATGTCTACCAAGAGCAAGAGGGCCGCTGTGGGCAGGCAGGCTCATGGCTCTCTTAATAGCACCTGATGTTCCTACGGCTCCTTGTAGTGCCTTTCCCTTGTGCTGTTCAGTCCTTTCCAAATGATGCTGCTTCAAAACTTGCTGCTGGAGGTCATTCTGTGGCTGGGATGGATGCCATGTCAGGTAGGGAAGGCATTACGCTGTGCCCCAGCTGAGGGACTGCTGCCATCTTTGGAGTCTATGGAGGAGGTTTTGGTTTCTTCTGTTGAGAAGCCAGGCACCCTGCAGGACATTCTGCTCCCCACAGCTCATCTGACTGCATGCAGAGGGCAGAAGCTACCTTCTGTATGTTTTGCATTCAGCTACCACAGCATAGTTGGGTTAGAGGGGACCTTAAAGACCATCTGCCGTGGGCTGGGTGCCCCCCAGCTCAGGCTGCCCAGGGCCCACCCATGGCCTCGGGCACCTCCAGGAATGGAGCACCCACAGCTCTGAGCCTTCTGAGGAGAGAATTTCCTTCTACCATCTAACCTACATTTCCTCTCTCTTAGTTTGAAGCCACTCCCCCCTTGTCCTATTGCTATCAGACAACGCAAGCAGTCAGACATTGCCTGCCAGGACCTGAAGATTTTCTCTATCAGCATCTAAGCAGAACATCTGATAAGGACTTACAACGGGACAGCTGTGCTCTGAGAAATGTCCTCCTCATGCAGAGCATGTCTCTTTTCTCCCTCCTTGCTCTCCCACTGGAGCTCTTTGCAGGGGAAAGCCAAACCCGAGAGCTATTTCAGTGCAAACAGCACTTAGAAACTGGGTGCTGCTTTACAGGCATAAAAGCCCAGATGGATGGTAATGACGTGCAAGGCAGCCCAGTCACCGCATCGCTCAGGGCCTGGAAGCTGCACACAGCTGCAATTTATGGCACTTTGAGTCCAAAAAGCTCTGACTGCCTCTGAAAGCAGCAAGCACTCTGGGTCCATTTACTTTTTCTGACCCTTTCTTTTGTGCAGAAACGCCGAAGGCCATCCAACACAAAGCCAGCTTTCATCTGAGGCACTGATGAGCATGTGTGTGTGCTCCTGAGCTGGGCACCAGCCCCAAGCACCACCCAGCCTGCTGGGACCACCAACAGCCGTTTTCTCTTCCAGCTTCCTCTGTATTCTAGAGCTCCTGCGATTGCCTACAGGCCAACTGCGGGATGCTGTGTCTCAAATGCAGCCTAAAAGAGGCACAAACCTGATGGAAAGCCAAAGCCCTGTTGCCTCCTGCAAAGCCCAGTGAAGCCAGGCAGCGATGCAAGTGATATTTGTTGACTTCAGGAGTCACCCCTGTGTGGGCTGCCAAGTGTTGTGCCATCCTCAGTCCTCCAGAGCAACGCCACAGCTTCCCTGCTGCTGCTGTCCAGCTTTGCAGATGCACACGCAGCTCTCGGATGGATGGGATTTGCTTTGGGATCCTCTTGGATGAGAAGGGCTCGTCACAGGTTTGCTCTCTGCTCCACCTCACTGTCAGACATTGTTCCATTCCTGGCCCATGCTTCACAGAAGCAGCAGCTTCCTGCTAGGGATGAGTGCAAGCAGCACATGGGAGTGCTCTGCATAGCCTTGCTCTGCTCCTACTCCACAACCCAGTTTGCAGCAGGAAACCCTTCTTCCTGCCTGCTCAAACCCACCACTGTGCTCTGCAGCAAGAAGAGGTTCACCCCCATCCCCAGCCCTGAGCTGTGTGCTTCCTTCTGTCCCCAGCTGCAGCTGGGTGTGCTGGTGGGACTGAGCCTTTCCTGCCCAGCTGCAGCACTGCTGCCTGCTCCCCTACAGCCTTAACCCTGTGACCTGCATGTTAGAAGCAAGCCCATTTTCCATGAGGGATTAAGCACCTGCTGTGATAAATGCACTTAAAGTCAAGCGAGGAGCCTCCCCTGCAACCTGCAAGAGTGTTTGATATTCAGAACTGCTCTGCTGGTGCTCTCTGTGGGGTCTGCAAGGACATTCATGTAGCTGCACAGTCCCTGCCCTCCCAGGGGCTTAAGGGCACACTGTATGGCAACGTCACTCTGCAGCCCTGCTCAGCCCTTAGTGCCTGAGGAGCAGTGCTCAGTGTCTTGATTTAAACCAAGTCAGTGCAGCCATGAGTTTCCCTTGGGCGTAACACAAACCCAAAGCTCACAACACCTCCCTTCGGGACACTTTCCACGACTCCTCTCCAGATGACACCTTCTACAAAGGAAAGGGGATGAGAGAGCATTGCGGGCGCCGCTCGAGGCTCCTGACACAGCCCTTCCTCCTCCCCTCAGTGCTGTCTCCTTGCCATGGCTGCTCAGACACCAGAGACCCAGCGAGCGTGGAATTCCCAGTATGGCAGTGCCAAGCCTGTGGTGGTGATGTGCCCCACGTGTGTGTATGAGCAGCAGCCGGGCGCACAGGGCTGGGGCTGTGGCCGTGCCTTACCCTCGGATGTCTGCAGCACCAGGGTCTTGCTGTAGGGGCTGACTCCTGTTTTGTTGAAGGCTTTGACACGGGCGCTGTAAGTGCTGTTGAAGTGAAGCCCGTCCACTGTGCACATGGTTTCCTTGCCCACATACACCTCCTGCAGAGCAAGCACAGCTGGGGATTAGTTAGCAGGGGTGGCAGTGCCCGGAGCATCCAACCCCAGGGGTGGGAGCAGCCCACCTGCTCCTGTTACTCCATGCTGCATGGGGCAGCTTTATGGGCATGCAAATTGCTAAAGCCAAGCTGAGAGACTCTGTGCTTTGTTCCTTGACACTAATGTACAATTTCTACAGGGAAAAGACACACTATTCACGTTGGACCAACTTGTAAAGCACCAGTCCTAGCTAAGCTTCCACTGAATCCCAGAGGAAACCTGCCAGAGAGATGAATTAACACAGAGAGCCTAGGACACAGAAAAATCCTTGCAGAAAACAATTTTGCATGCTCCTGGATGGCAGGATCAAAGCGTTCCTTGAAAGAAAACAAAGTGATTTCGCCCATGTGGTGCTGACTCACCATCGTGTCATGCTTCTGCTCCTGTTCAAAGCAACAGGGCTGTGTAAGCTGACAGCAAACATGTCTACAGGCTACTGAAACACCTGGCTCACAAAGCACTGACTTGTAATTAGCAGATCCCACAGCTGAGCTCCATTTTTCATGGTGTGGATGGAGGCTCTGCTTGGGGAGCACACCTGCATGGGGAAGCTCTGCTGCCCTGCTCTCACTCCAGACCTTCCTGTGATGCTGTTTGAAGAGGCAGTACTTGAAGCTGAGCCCTGCTTTCCCAGGTGTGTGTCTGTCCCCAAGGCTCATAGGACAGCCTGCAGGCTCCCTGTCATAGAATCACAGAATCGTAGAACAGCCTGGGTTGCACAGGAGCACAGTGCTCATCCAGCTCCAACCCCTGCTGTGTGCAGGTCGCCAACCAGCAGCCCAGGCTGCCCAGAGCCACATCCAGCCTGGCCTTGAATGCCTGCAGGGATGGGGCATCCACAGCCTCCTTGGGCAACCTGTGCCAGTGCCTCACCACCCTCTAGGTGAGGGTTCCTGCCCTGACTTTGCTCTGGCTCCTGCCCAGCTGAGTTTCTCAGGGATGTACTGAGAAATGATGATGGGCAGTCACAGTGACTGGGTGATTATCAGCGTGTCGGATCAGAGCAAAATCATATTTTAATTGTGTAATTACAGCAATTTAAAAGCCTTCAGGCCTTGAACACCTCTGCTTGCTGGCAGCTGGCAAGCTGGGAGACTTTCAGGGCAATTAGCATACCTTGCAGGAAATATTCAGCAACCTAAAAAAGACAGAGCTACAAACTGGTCTTTCACATTTGCAAGTCATATTGGTCACTGGAAAGGTATTTCTACACCTTCAAATAACCCCAGCCCCCAGAAAACCCCTGTGGCTTGTCTGCACCACTGGTTTCCTTGGGCAAGTCTCACGTTTGCAGGGCAGGAGAGTGCCTGCAAGGACCTGGGGAGCTTGCTGGTTGCTTTATGGCCGTGCTGTGCCATAGGGCTGGCTCTGTGCCCCCAGCACTTACCCTGAACTGCCCTCCATTGCCATCATCGAGCTCCAGGATGTAGCCTTCCACCTGCACCGTCGACAAGGGGGGCTGCTTCCAGGACAGCGTGGCACTGTTGTTGTGGGTGCAGCACTCCTCCAGCTGCAGGATTGGGGGGGCCGGCACTGGGGAGGAAACTAAACACAAATTAGGGTGACCTTGACTGCTAGCACCACTGGGGAGGAGTGGGGCAGAGCCGTGCATGTGCAGCTGGAGGATGGAGGATGCACCCACTGCCCCAGGGCCAAGGCAGCTCTGCAAAAGTGATGCCAGAGCCATAAATACCAGCAACTGCCGGGCTTTGCAGAATAGATTGGATTTCTCTTTACATGGGAGGATATGGCACGAATTGAAGGACTCTGCAAAGAAGAGATGAGCATTGCCCAGTGATGCTATTTCAGGGAATGATGGCTCTCAATCTGCCAAAAAAAGGCTCAGGGTCCTCCCACGGTGTCCCACGCAGAGCCTTCCCAAATCTGAACCACTCATACTCCATGCTCTTCCCTCAAAATTGATTGGGGCCAGTGGGAGAGAAGAGGTGGAGAACCCAGACAAGACGTGGAGAGGCCACAGATGTTTGGGAGACAGCAAAGGTTCCCCATTCACCACATCCTGCTGTGACTCCTCCATGCCTTGGGCTGGACCTGTAGCAGAGTGCAGCGAGGCCTTCTGGCACAGCCATGGCAGCAGCAGCCATGCTGGTAGTGCCAGCAGGATTGAGGGATGCCCCTTGAGAAAAATAGCTTCTACTCATGCTTAAAAGCAGAATTTCATCCATCTCACTGCGTGGAGCTGAGCCAAAGATCTCCTGTAGTGTCTGACCCACAGCGATCCCAACACCTGGGGACAAAAGGAGTGCTGCCACTGCTGCCAGGGCCACCCAGATGGAAAACAGGAGCTGGCTGTCTTAAATGAGTATCAAAGGCCCTCTCTTGGAAGGTCTCATCACACTGCACATGTGCACCTGCACGGTGCAAAGCTGGCCCCAGTCCTGCTCTGTCTGTGGGTGCTGCAGTGGGACACAGCTGTCACAGGACTGTCCTCTGCTCCCAAAAAGAGCCCTAAAACTCACAATGGGGAGTGAGGGGACAGCCATTATCTGCACTTTACCATTGAGAAACAGAAGCAAGTTTGACCCAGAGGCCTGGTGAAGCCAGGCTGAGCCCCAACCTTCCAAACTCTGTTTGTTGGTAGGGATGGGAACCTCTTCTCTGCTGCCCCTCACCTGTGCTGAGTCGCACAGAAGCACCCAGCACAGCAGAGGAATAACCTTACCTTTCATCTGCACGAAGTCGAGCTGATGGATGGACTGCAGGAGGGGGCCGTTGTCAAGGTTCAGGTCAAAGTCCGTGGTCATGCGGGGTGTGAGCGTCCCTTTTCCCCACTGGTCCTCTGTTAAGTGCACTCTTCTGATGAGAGCGTCGGAGATCTGGTGGCAGGGAGCAGCCTCAGCTAACGAGGGCAACGTGGGCATGCTGAGCCTCATCCCCACCCCACTGTTCCCCTTCCCTGTGCCTTCCAGGCTGCCACCTCTGGCCCCGACTGCTGGAGTTTTTTTGGTGGTCATTCCTGCCCAGGTGCACGGCCCTATGACTGCCCTCACTGGATTCCCCTCCACCCAACTCTGGGAGAGCTCTGGGGAGACCTCATGGTGGCCTTCCAGTACTTGAAGGGAGTGGATAAACAGGAGAATGGCTGTTTGTGAGGGTGGGTGGTGATGGGACAAGGGGAATGGTTTTAAAGTGAGACAGGGGAGGTTTAGGTTGGATATGAGGAGGAAGTTTTTCAGCCAGAGGGTGGTGAGGCACTGGCACAGGTTGCCCAAGGAGGCTGTGGATGCCCCATCCCTGCAGGCATTCAAAGCCAGGCTGGATGTGGCTCTGGGCAGCCTGGGCTGCTGGTTGGCGACCTGCACACAGCAGGGCTTGGAGCTGGATGAGCACTGTGCTCCTGTGCAACCCAGGCCATTCTATGGCTCTACAATGAGGGTCTGGCCCTTGCTTTTAGGGCTGGCAAAGCCGGAGACACCACCCTCACTGCATCTCCTCTGACTGTGCTGCACCCCAGGGCTCTGGCTGTGCAATGCCTTCCCACTGCTCCCGGGAGCTGAGCCCTGACCTGCAGGAAGCCGCTGGGGTCGTTCTCCTTGATGACCTCCAGGCAGTACTCCATCAGCCCCGTGGTCTGCCGCAGCTTCACCGTGCAGTGAGAAATCTGGTCTCTCACCACCTGCAATGACACGAGGAGAGCAGCGTTGGCACATGGATGTGATCAATAGCAAGGGGGACAAAGCCTCCAGGGAACACACAGGACAGCTCACTGACTCCATCCTCCATCTGCCCTCCCATCCTCAGTGCAGCTGGGCTGCTGTGCTGGAGCCAGGAGCGATACCTGGCAGTCTGGTATCTTCAGGAGGAATGAACACATCACAGCCCCATCTTCAACACAGTGATAGCAATAAAATAAGCCGTGCTGAGTGCTTCCTCTGCGAGCTATGCAAAGGGATGGAGGTGAACCTGGGCACGTGCCAGCCTCCTGCAGCCAGCAAACCTGGGCTGCAGAACGGGGCAACAGCTCCTGCAGGGCAATCGATCAGATCACGTGTTGCTTAATTATAATTTAATCACCTCTGCTTAATCACCTAGCAGGAAGAAACGAATCAACGGCTCTGCAGCTTGCGGCAATGTATCTGTTTCTGTGAGGCAGTGGGAAATGCTGGCTCTCGGTTTGGGGGGGATTTGCTGTTTGCTGGGGCCGCGTCAGCATCATTAGCAGCAGCATCAGCAGCACATACCGTGTGCCGAGCTGCAGAGACAGCAGGGGGAGCTCCCACCTCGTCCTCCATCCCAAAAAGCGAAGGGTGTTGGAGGATTTTCCTGACCAAGAGGGTTGGACGCCGCGTTTCCCAGCTGCAAGACGTGCTGTGTATCCCCAGCACATCCCCGGTACAGATAACCAATCCAAAGATGGGACTGGGAAAACAATCTTCTTATCTTCTTTGCAGCTTAAATCTCCATCGGGTTGGGGCAGCATAATGAATTTGTAGCCCCCTCCTTACCCCAAAGGATGCTTTTGAAGCATTACCAGCAGAATGGCCATCTGTCAGCAGCAGCCCTACGTATGCTGCCCTGGCTGCACAGTCAGCCCCAGCAGGCTCCTCCCATCCAAGTAAGGCTGATTCCTGATGTCTGGTCCCTAACAGAGGTCTGGTTCCAACCAGGAGCAGCAGGGCGGTCTGTGCTTGCAGGGAATGAGCCAAACACCCCCTGCTCCCATCCCAGCAAAGCTCACAGCGCTGCTGACTGGAGAGAGGATGCTTAGGGACAGGCTGAGAGGTCACCATCAGGCTCACAACCCAGCCCAGGCTCCTTGCCATAGGGCACAATCAGCTCTGGCTGCACTGTGCATTGAGTTCCAGCAGCTTCAGAACATCCATCCCACCAGGGCTGCCCCTCAGCAGCATTCCTGCCCTTCTGGAGCTCTGTGATTCTGCTCAGGGATTGAGAACCTATTCAGCTGGAGAACTAGAGCATGAAACAGCAGATTAATTGCAGTGGTTCTCCTCTGCTGCTGTCCCCACTTGGTGGGGTATCTCAGCTCCTCATTACACCAAAATAATGGGGGTTTATGTTAAGAGCCAAAAGGAAAAACTGGAAGATCCTCTGACTTGTACAAGGGAACAAGGCAAGCAGCCATGCAGCTTTAGGAGGACTCTGAAGGCTTGCAGTGCTCACCAGACAGCCAGCAGCACCAACTGCATTGGCATTAGCATAGAATGGATGGTTTGCAAAGCTCTGCTGAAAGCACTGAATGGTGGCATCTTCTGGGAAAAGGCCTGTGGGACACAGAGCACCAGCTCAGCTGGCAAGGAGGTTGGGGCAGCTCCATACATTTCCCTTCTGGTTGCTTTTGTCACTTTTTTTCCCATTGCATGTCAACGGAGGCAACAGCCAGAACCTGGTTACTAATTGCAGCCTGCAGAAAGGACGTTTGCTGCGTGCTCACAGCAGCTCCTTACTACCTTAAAATAGGAAATTTATTTCCAGAGCTTTTCTCTCCTGCAAGATGACATTAACTATAATTTACATTTTAATATAGCTCCTAGAAGGCATCTGCACTCAGCTCTACCTGTCTTCCTCGTCTTCCCTCCTCTTTTTAGCCCTTGGCTGGATTTCTGCTTTTCAAGGCATGCAGCCTCATGCAAACCTTGGCTGGATGAGCCCTGCTGGGGGCTGCCATGCCATACGAAGGGTCACAGAGCAGCACTTCATCTCTGGAGATGCCAACATGTCCTGTGATACGGGCTGAAGCTCCAAGAGGTGTCTTATTTCCACCTGGGACAACCCTGTAGGAATGCATGTCCATACTCAGTGTTTGTGCCATAGGACATTTTCCTTTGGGAACACATCAGTCCTTTGGAAACCAAAGCCATCCATGAGAAGCAGAACACACAAGGTCTGCCCTGGGTATGGAGTTTAAAACCTGTCCCCACTGTTCCTCCAGATCCTATTTTTTAAAGCCTGGCTCTTACTATGAATCTAAGTTTAGGGGAGGTTTGGGAAAAGCAGGGAGACGTCCCTTCCAAGCTCATTCCTTGGCACAATCAGTGTTGGCCCATGGGCAGTCCTGGCCTGGTGCCTGTCTCCATGAAATGTGTGTCAAGCTAAAGTAGGTCAGTCCTGAAGCTGAACTGACCCCAACTGCTGGCATCCCATGGGACCAGCAGTACAGCAGAACGTACAGAAAGCCATGGGCTGAGCACACAGCACGGGGGCACTTGGAGGCAGCCCCTCCATGCACCACCAGGCAACCTGCATGCTGTCTTTTCTAACACCCTGCAGGGATGTCTGCTCCCTTTGCAATGCTTTCAGCCCCACAGAGCCTCCAAGCAAAAGCTGCAGGCTTTGTCATCGTCCCCTGCAGGCAGTGCCAGCCTTTGCAGCCTTGGTGACACCGGGGAGGTGCAGCTGCTCCAGGCACAATGCTTGCCCAGCTGGGGGCTGCAGGTGCTGTCTTTGTCTGGGGGCTCCTTGGAGGGGCAAAGGAAAAGCTGCTCCAGGCAGTGATGATCCAGGCAGCCTCCTCCCCTGGGTCACAGAGCATGGTGGGGACCCTGTTTGAGCAGGGAGAAAAGCAGGGAGGTGCCCAGCAGGCCTACACCTCCATGTATGAACACAGGCAAGACCCTCTCTGTCCCTGCCCCAGGACATGCATTGAGCTTGGGCTGTACGTCTCAGCCACTGAGGTTACATCTCACAGTGCAGGACTCAGCTGCCCTCAGGTGGGTCACAGCAGCAGCTTTTGTTCACTCCTAATTCACAGGAATTAGAAGGGAAAATTAATAATTTCAAGCAAAAAGTCTGACCAGTGCTGCACAGGCTGCAAAGCAGAAGGGAGCAGCTTCTGGGTTTTAAATAGCAGCCACTGTGATGCTGCTGACTCCATGGAGCCCTTCCTGCCACACAGCATCCCTTCCCACACAGCTCAGGGGGCTGCTAAACTCAGTACTCCAAGCAGGGAGACTTGAGGGCTGATTTAAGAGCCCAGCCTGAAGCCCAGGGGCTGGAAGTGCACTCACAGTGTGGCTGCTTCTGCCTAATGACAAAGGCCAGTCGGTAACAAGCGTGGATGAGGCAGGATGAATGTGTTGGGGACAGGCAATATGGGATGAGCAAGCCGTGGGAAGCAGATTTCTTCCCCTGGCCAAAATATGAAAGGCTTCTGTAGTTTGTGCTGAGCCAAGAAAATGTTTTATGCTTTAATTAACCATGCCCTGAAGGGCAAGAGTGAAAGAGAGCCCGCAGGCACAGGGGTCCTCTCTGTATCTACAGGCCAGCAACGTGGCACTGCCTATTTGGGCTGTGCTTGTTGTTGGACAGCAAGCCCTGATGCAGGGTTCAGCCCCACAAAGCTGCTATTGTCCAACTCCCAGGCTTGAATGGACCTATTTTGGACCCATGGGTTTTAATTGTGGATCAGAGTCTAATGCCCAACCTGCTGGGGGCTCTGGAGGGAGGCTGGGGAGAAGCAGCAGCGAGGAGAGAGTGTAGGACAGTGAACATGATGGAAATGCTTGAGAGGGAGAGCCTAAAGGAGGTGTGTGCAGAGCTCAGCCTGTTTTCAGCTGACCTCGATGCTCACACTGAGATGTGCAGCTCAGCTCCCTCTGTGCCAATGTTTCACTGCTGGGTGAAACAATCACCCTGAGGTGCTCATCAAGCAGAACAGAACACAGAGTGATTCCTGCTCCTGCCTGATGACAAAAGTGGCATCTCGCAGCCCCAGGTGCCCCAGCTCTTTGCAGCTCCTGCTGAAACCAGCAGAACTCACAGCACTGCATCCTGCAGGATCAGACCAGGAGCTCAGAAGCAACGTGGGACACAAACAAGGTCACCTAACAGCCTCTGGATACTGTACAGAGGGCTCTAACAACCCAATCACTTCTAATTGGTGCAGCAACAGAGTAATGCAGTGGGGACTACGTGGAGGCAGCAGCACTCTGCTCAGGACCCATCAGAGCAAGCTGAGCATGTGAGAAGCAGCTTTGCAGCAAGCCCAACAAACAGCAGTGCATCTCACCCCGCTCTGGTGGCAGCCCTGCAGGAAGCCCTCTGAGCCTGGGGCTCACCTTCAGCTTATGCTCGTGCTCCTTGTTGACACGGGACAGCAGCTGGGCTTTCCTTCTGTTGAGGGCATCGATGAGGGCGTCACATTGGGCCACCAGGCAGGCTTCAAACTCCACGCTGTTCTCCTGTGGGTCAGAGCAGAGCAAAGCATCACAGCATGACTTTCCTCCTGGGGTCTACTAGGGTTATCTTGATGTGTACAGCCACGGCAGCACACAAATCCATGCTGTTAGCATATGTACAGCCCTGGCTCGTAGCAAAGAGAGCAGCAGTGAGCATCCTTGGATTTGCCTGTGGCAAAGTGAGGTCTGCTCACCGCATCACTCAGACAGCTTTGGGAGGAGCAGTTTTGGGAAGGATCATATGAAAAGAGATAGCTGCTGACTGGGGGCCCCTTCGGAGAGGATCCCCCCAAAGCAAGCTGAGGAGATGGGGTGGAAGATCCCAGAGAGCAGCTCATCCCCCCAGCAAGGGCTGAGCACCGTACCTGGATTTGCTGCACCATGTTGCGGAGCTGCACCAGGAACTCTTTTGCCTCCTTGGCTCTGTCTGACAACCCATTCAAGGCCTGGGACAGCTGGCTCTGCAGGGGGAAGAAGAAGTAGCATCATTTCCATGTCCCAGACTCGCTGCAGGAGCTGGCATAAGTGTGGTGGGGATGGACTGGGGTCCCTGCACTGCCTTCCTGGGGCAGGAGATGTCCTGTTGCCCTGGGAGAAGGAAGGGAAGAGGAGGGGTAGCCATCATCAACACTCTCAGATTTAGGAAGATGCCTAACAGGGAAGTGTTTCCACTGTGCTCTGAATCCCATTGCATCCCTGCTGCTCATGGCAAGAGTCACCCAGCTGGGGACACGGAGCAGTTAGCCCATTAAACATTGTTAATTAATGCTAGATGACAACGGAGCGCGTGTGGGAAGGTGCACGGGGACTTGCAGGCATGCCTGAATGTATTCATTAAGGGCAGCTCTGTGGGCACAGTGACAACATGATTCATAGCTGTGGGGGACAGAAAAAAACTAAGCCCTTCTGGTTCTGTGTTATTCTAAGTCGGGGAGAAATTAAATGTCTGAGTGGGGGCCGTCAATCCTACAGGTGCCTTCCTGAAAGGCCACTGCCCTTGGAGCAAAGCCAAGCTCCACAGATGGGTTGGATCACCAGGCACACGAGGCAGTCGCAGGTTGGCCCTAAGAAAAGAAGGCAGCAGCTTGCATGGGTGTGAGCAGGGGGCAGGATGAGGACGAGGTGATGAAGGCTTGCAGCAAGGTGTGGGGGAATGGGCAGGTGGTGCTTGTGCATCTCTGCATGGAAACAGACTGACAGGGAAAAGCTCCAGGGATTCTTGTGGTTTCTCAGGGCTGGGAAGCCTGCTCTGGGACTGCTGTGCCTCAGCAGAACACGAAAGGTGATGGAGACCCAGTGTGCTCCAGTGTGCACTGCAACACTCATAGAATCAGGCTGGAAAAGTCCTCTGAGATCCCCAAGTCCCATCCCAGCCCACTCCACCCTGCCACTGCCCACGTCCCTCAGTGCCACATCCCCACAGCTCTGGAACACCTCCAGGCACGGTGACCCCACCACTGCTGGGCAGCTGTGCCACTGCAGCACTGCTCTTTGGAGAGCAATTTTCTCCCTATATCCAACCTCCAACATCCCCTGGTGTCCCCTGTGACCAGAGCAGCATCCCACCACAACCAGCATCAGTGGGAGAATGAATGAGTTTCAAATGAAGAAACATCCTATTCAGCACGGTCTTAAGAACAAGTGAATTTGTTCTCCCACATAGCTGGCCTGCTTTCCTGATGCTCTCGTTTCAAAGCAGCGAGAGGAGACCTCCGTAATTCACATTAGCATTAATGGCAGTTAAGCATTTAAATCTCTGTCCCTGGAGCACTTAGGAGAGAATCCATCCCTTTTCTGTGCTCACTAATAGCCCCCCTTCCCAGGCTTGGCTGACAAAGGGATTTCTGTTGGGCTTTGACTCCCTCCTGTCGGAAATCAGGGATGAGCACACAGGATCTGCCCGTAGTGAAGCCATGCTGGCTGTCTTGGATCACCTTCCCATCTCCCACAGCCTTAACACAGCCTCCATTGGCACATCCTCTGCTGGGACACGAGCTGTCACACATCATGTGTGACTCAATATGGGCAGTGGGGCACTCACAGAGGGGTGAGGGAGCTAGAAGAGCAGCACAGTGAGCCAAGGCAAGAAGAGATCTGCTCCCAGTGTTCTGCTCATACCCCCGAAAGGATGAGGAGCTGCCACAGATGCTGGAGCTGAAGTCATGTGCTTCATTCTTTTAATTAAGGCACAGGACCTACAGCCTTTGAATCCTGTGGCAAGCTTACTGTACGTGATGCCTGACTAATTAAAATGGGATGTTTAATTAAAATTTGCATTCGCTCAGAAAGTTGATGAAGCTAAACAGCTGCTAATTGGCTTTCTGCTCCAGCCACGGCATCCTGACCCTGGTGAGGAAGCAGGGCCAGGGGTGCAGCCCCCACTGCTGTGTGTCTGACCCAGCACACAGAGCTGGCTTTGTGAGCAAAGCTCCTGGGTGCAAAATGCAGGCAAGAAGCAACCCCCCGCCTCCTTCTTTGCAGTTATGGGGGGGATGCAGAGGAGGATGAGATGTGAATGTTAATGCTCAGCAGCCCCGTGGCAAGCCCCAAAGCCAGGCTGCTGCCTGCCAGCTGCTAAGGTTTGGATAAAGCCAATTATTTGTTGATAAAAGAACGGCAAAGCAGCTCTGGGTGCTGTAGTGCAGAGCAGAAATCAATTCTGGCAGACTGGGCTTCGATGCCTTATCAGCTCGTCGGGCTGTTTCTTATCCCCCTGCCAGCCCATACCTGCTCTGTTTGGCCCACCTACACTCAGCTGACTGCAAGCAGCAGCCAGGAGCCAAAGCCCAGAGCATCACTGTGTGCACAGATGGCCCCAGCCGCTGGCTTTGTTCAGGCAGACACTGGGGCAGTGTATTTCCTCAGCAGGCAGAAGGGATTCAAAAGCTCCAGCCTGGAAATAAGACAGGGAATATATTCTTTGCAAGCACAATGACCTCGCTGAAGCCCTTTCATTGCCTCCTGTACGGCTCCAGGGTGCCCTGCTCTGTGGAGCAGACGCACTGCTCTGCCTCACCGCGAGGAACACCGAGTCTCTTGCATTTTCCACTTAGACCCTGGTGATGCTGGCACTGCCTGGCAGCCCATCCATGCTAGCACAGTGACTCACCACAGCTGCTGCCCAGAGTCTGCCCATGGAAGGGACTGGGGTCAGTGTTCCGCTCAGCCCCGGGGCCAGGAGCCTCTCTGAAAGCAGGTTTCTCGTGTTTTGAAAACCACCTGCTGCCTCTTGGTTGCCAGCCCCTGGAATTGCACGTCAGCCAGCGCTGGGCACTCTGCTGGAAGTCAGACACTCCGGGTAAAAACAGCAATTATGATCTTTGCTTGGATTTTAATGCGCCTAAATGTTGTGCCAAAACCAGTGATGAGTAACCTGGGCCTGCAGCAGAACAGCACAGCACCCCGTCCCTGCTGGGAGTCCCCATCTGAACCCTATGCTTCCCAGTGTGAATCAGAGGAGGTCTGTGAGCAGCCCGAGTGATGTGGTGAAGGTGCAGCCCCTGCTTTGATACAGGATGCAGTCCTTGCTTTGGTTTTTACGCAGAAGAAATGAGCACCGAGATATTATCAACAGCCCTTTGATATTGCCAATTAATTCCTGTCTTGCTTCATTAACACTCGACAACAAATCACCTTTGCTTTTCATCAGCAAAACCTACTGCACATCCCTGAGAAATCCCAAGGAGAAGCAGGGTGAAAAGCTAAAAAAGGGCAAATATTGGGCACTGCAGAGCAGGCTGATGGTGAGGAAGTACAGGCAGCTCCATCTGGTTTGCATGAGGCAGACAGGAGGAAGCAAGGACGCTCTGGCCAGATCCTGGTGCAAGATGATGCCTCCCAGAGCAGCAGCAATGCACAGCTCCTGTAATGGGGAGCCAAGGCATGTCTTGTCTTGAGCAAGGCAGCCGTAATGATGGCTGATTCCAGCCACTCGTGGCCCAGCACTGATCTACAGCTGCTCTTGTGAGGCTGGTGGCATTTCCAACCCCCCTGGAAGCACTGGGCTCATTTGCTGTGTCAGTGCTGCTATGCTTCCAGAGATGAATGAGGCTGGTGAGAGGCTGAGGACAACCTGCAGCTGATCAATGACTTCTCCAGGCTCCCTCCCCTCCCCTGCACAGCACAGAGCAGCCACACCACACCACTGCTTGCACACTGCACTCTGAAGAAGCTGGAGAGGCTCCATCTTGCACATCTCTTGCTGCATTCACACACAAAGGAAGGTCAGATGCCCTTTGCCGCGTGGCAGAGAGCAGCCTGGTGGTGGGCTGTGATGCTTGTGCACTGCTCCTCCTGGGGATGTCGGCACACTTTTGTCATTCCCTCCTCACCTGCACAGGGACGCTCCTGCTGGGAACAGTTTCTGCATGGCTTCTCTGCATTTGGCTGCAGCTGCTGCTAGCACAGGAGCAGGGAGATGGAACGAGCTGAGCTGGGGGCCGGAATCAAGAGAGGAGTTGGGCAGGGACCCAGCAGGGAGCTCAGTGTGCCCTCGTGCCAAGAAAATGGCAGAGGAGGGGGTCAGTGCACTGGGTTCTGCTTGGGGCACCAAGTGGTGGTACTGCACATCTCCAGGTGAGAGCAGGGCAGACACCCAGGCAGCGCAGCTTGGTGTCCTCGTTAGCACGCCCAGTGCTCAGGCTAATTAGCCTGGGTGCAGCTCCATGATGCTTGGTCACCCTGCGGCCGCACTGAGCCCTGCTGGAAGAGGCCTCCCCTGGACTGACATCAGTCTGTGCTGATGGGAAACTGCAGGACATCGACTTGCTGCTGCCCAGACAGGGAGGTACGTGGGGATGCTGCCCTCCTTCAGAGCCCCACCAACACAGCACCGCCTCTGAACGAGCACCCGGGAGGGAAGCTGAGGCTGAGGGGTGCATGGAATCAGGGCAGCAGAGCTCACCTGCTGGAGGGCTCTGCAGGTCAGAAGGAAGCAGCTCATCAGGGAAGATCCTCTGCCTCTCAGGCAGCCACTGCAAGAGCCTCACTATTGTTTTAAAGAGTAATAAACTCATTGCACAGCCTTAATTAGAGAGCGAGGCAGTTAATAAAGCCAGACACTGCATTTCCTGGGAGGTCTGCTCAGCAGCTAATGTCTGCAGCACATGATCCCTCCTCAGGTCACTGCTCCTTGCAGCATTTTCCCTTTGCTCTGAATGAGCCTCCAAGCCTCAGGTACCCCTTCCCACAGTACAGCAGGCCCAAGGGTGGGAATAAGGCTCCCACCTGGCCAGTGCCATCCTTCCTTTCCCCCTGGTGCCTCTATGCAGCAAGCAGCCCTATGGGCACCACCTACACCCAGCAAGGTGTACGCTGCAGCCCTGATGCTTTCCACCTTAAAATGATGCCCCGTTTGCCTTCAATCCAATTATCACCTCCCTCAGCTGCCTCCATGGTTACTCGCACTTAAGCTCTGCCATCCCATTACTGCATTAAGTCTTTAAATCTGATTACTTTGGTT